TATTCCTCCTCCCTGTTGTTTCTCTATTTTATCCCCATTCTTCACTCATTGGTATGCTGTTGATTTTTTATGCAGAATGTATCTGCCAGTCTCCTCCAATCACATTTATTAACAAACACACCACAAAATTGATTTTTAATATTATCTGCATCTTTTTTATGTAAGGTATATCAATTCAAATATTAGGTAGGATGAATATTATGATTGCTATCATGCTAATAATTAATTTCGATTTTGATACAAAATATTGTCAATAGACAATTCTAATTTGAAATCGAGGGGCATTTTGCTGGGTAAAATTGTGGACACTAATTCCTCAAAGCCATAATAATGCCTAATAATTCAATATCTTGACTATAGTAATACCTGGTAATTCCTCATAATGCCTCACAATTCCTCACAATTCTTGTAATTCCTCACAATTCCTTGTCAATTTCTCATATTTTTTTGTGATACTTGTTGATATTCAAACAATAGGAATATAATGTTTTTTTAATTGACAAAGAAATTTCCAATAACATATAGGGATTCCTTTTCGTACGCTCTAAGAGATGAAAAAAGAGAATGGCGTTCATATCCTAATCTGAGCTTAGAATACAGTGTATATAAGGTGTTATATTCTGAAAGATACATGTAGCCCAGCATTTAGTATATAATGTATATCTTGGTGTGAATATAATATATGAAATACCAGGTGATTTTCCAAGGTTTAATATGCTCAATGAGTGTGACAGAGAAAGAAGTTTTGATATTGCCCCGTCACACCCATTGAGCATAAAATATGGAAATTTTGATAGCAAATATCTTCATAATCATTCCAAATCCCTTATCTTTGAATTTGTTAAGATATTCCTTAACTGATATGGGTGTCCAATTCAAAAATTTAAAGTTATTGAGGACATTTCCTGTCAAAACCTCGCCAAGTATGAAACAAAATGAAATCCTGACTATCTCCTGAAATAATCATTTCTGGGAGAAACCAAAATACACCTCGAAAATGATAAACAAGGAGACACAATTCATCATAGGTAACATCAAGGTAATATTAACATCTACACCCCCAGATAAAATCCAGAAAATGCCCCTCATTTGAAATTATTCCCTCTTAAATTGAATGAGTTTATTCTTATTTTGACTGTGTTCATGAACTTGAATTTGTCAATTCTAAATTTGAAATTGAATTTGAATATGATTATTCCCAATTTGATCATGTTTATTCCTAGGTTTATTCTCATTTTGAATCTGTTTACCCCAGTGTTTACCAATTTGGATGTGTTAAATTCAAATTTGAAATTTGATAAGTCTGGATTTTAACTTGAAAAAGTATATACCTTATATACATTTGAATTAATAATAGGCAACATCTCAAAGAAGTAGTAACAGAAGGTGTTGGTTCTATTCTCAGGACCTCTTTATAATGCCTAAGGTAGCTTTGAAAGAAATCCAAGTGCATCAAACTATATGCTTGGGCATGTGGAAACAGTCAGTATTCTAGGGTAGTCCAGATTTGTGATTTTGTAGGTCATAGCTAGGTATTTACAGGAGGAAACAAGCAGAATTTTTTTGAAGTAGCTTTCAGAATGGATCTAAAAGTAACATAATTTTTCTATGATTACAGAAAATACAAATTTGAGATTTTGTGATGTTTATATTTCTTCCAATCTCGTTTTTTATTGAGATCTTTCAAGTATCTCCCCATAATTATTTTCTTTAGATATGGCATGGACTGAGATCTCGACTGAGATGTTTATAATTCCTATGGACATTTCAAAGTGAGCCATTGCCTCTCTGCCACTTTTCCTAGCTACTTACGACCCTGTTGCACATTCATCAAGTGATACCACAGTTGTGATACTATTGAATTTTGGAGAATAATAATAATGACCATCACTAAAACACTAAAACTATGAACACTTTTATTAGGGGTTTTGAAATTGTGCAAATCCACCTCAAAACTTATTTTTATCTTCGAAACATACCTATATCCTATATCGTGTCGAACTGGTTCAATTTTCAATTATTATTTGTTTTTGTTTTAAAATGGTTTTTACTAGAGTCCCTGTATATACCTTAGACAAGAGTCCGGAGCTCCGGACCCACAGAACTGTCAACTGAACTGACAGCCGTTGGGGTTTTTAATATTTTGTTTCATTTGGTTTGCCCACCTGACAATGTGACGAAACACATAATATATGAAGCATAGCTATCTTCAAAGCGGGACCAACTTCTGATAGTTGAGATGTTTATAAGTTGACCAGTTTAACAATGAACTGAAGAGTTCATTGCAGTTTGAGGAATGAGTATATAGGTAACGAAATCGACCAATAGGCGTTGATGCAAACGTAGGGAAAAAATAATAGAGAGTTGAAGTAATCACTGTACGTAGACCTCCACGTCGACGTTAACGTACGAAAAATAACGTTAACGTATTGTCGTTAAATTGAGTTGAAGTCGCCACTTTGGTCGTCACTGTCATCAATTAATAATACATTTTGTTTTCGGTTTGTTTTGGTCATTTTTGGTTGTGTGTTTAGATTCGAACATTTATTCCTGTCAAAATTAGAGGACTCCTTGATGCAGAACTCGTTGGTGATCTCGAATTTGATAATTTTGACTCATCGGCATATTTCGATTTAGTTTGAGATAACGTACCGTAAGCCCACCAACAACGCAAACGTGAAGAATTGGAAAATGCGCATGCGTAGCTGTCAATTTCTACGTTTACGTTAACGTTCATGACAACACTTCAACTCTCTAATACGAAACTTGTCAAACCAATATGACTGTTTCGTTCCTTCACTTTCCGTACCGGTGTGAAGATAGCTGCCTAAGCTGGCTGCTAAAATTTCCGAACTTACCCGACAGACAATACCAGTGGCGGGCGGTCATTTTATTCAATAAAAATGTTATTTTACTAAAATGAATCAATTACATGGAAGCTTAATGATCTGATTACTCAAATTGAATAGAATTTGGACTCACACATGCACATGATATCAGATGAAAAAAACATCAATACCTCCTATTATGTTGACTTCACACCGGTTAAAATGTTATTCTCCAGAAAGATTCACCTGCTCAGTATACTTCTCCTATACATTCCAATTTTCATTTCAATGCTGAATATATTGGTAAGTTATATTTCTATATCATTATACATCATATTATTCATCCGATTTGGAGAAGAATGTCAATTCTCAATTTCGGAGGATTTTATTCTTCATTTTTCATGTTCTCCTTTTGAATGTTCATCAGATATAATTCAATGTTCGACGAGGCAAATAGCCAGGAAAATAGTTTTTTTCTGTTGAATATTCAGAATGATGTGTGCATATACATATTTTTATCTGAAGGAGAATGCAAATTCTCAATTTCAGAAGTTTTTATATTTTATTTTCAAACTCTTATCGTGTGTGTTCAATAGATATAATTCAATGTTCGTCGTGGCATATAGCCAGGAAAGTAGTTGTTTTCTATTGAATCAACTGAAAAAGAGTAAATATTCTCATCACATCATAGAGAATGCGAATTCTCAATGTATTGCTTTTTATAAATATATATCCATTTTTGTATGTTCATAATTTATCTGAGAATATTCCTTTTCATCACCTGCTCAACCTGAAAAAAAATCTTTCTCGATCATCTTCATTCCATATAATTAGATTCAATATTTCCATCAAATCACATTAAACATTTCAGAGATCAAACTGTTGATGATTTGACAACATTCAAAATTCAATTCATAATGAAACGAAAGCAGGCTGAGCAAGTGGATATTCTTGGAGAATGAGATTTCATGGATGTAGTAGAAGACTTCTGCGCTAGTTTCAGTTTGACAGTCTGGTGCATTACGGGGAAAACGATTTTTCTTCAGAAAATCGAATGAAAATGATAGTTTCCCATTTTTCGCAGGCTGAGCAAGTGGATTTTCTGGAATAATGAGATTTCATGGATGTATTCGAAGACTTCTGCGCTGGTTTCAGTTTGACAGTCTGGTCTGGAAAATGATAATTTCCAATTTTCCGCAGGCTGAGCAAGTGGATTTTCTCAAAGAATGGGATTTTATGGATGTAGTAGAAGATTTCTGCGCTAGTTTCAGTTTGACAGTCTGGTGCATTTCGGGGAAGACGATTTTTCTTCCGAAAATCAAATGAAAATGATAGTTTCCGATTTTCCAAGATTTAATGATAAACATCTCAGATACTCAGTACAATATCTCCGAAAAATTAAATTGAACTCGAGTTTTCTTTCAATTCATTATGAATTAAGTTTTGAATGTTGTCTAATCATTAACAGTATATAATGATCTCTGAAATTTTTGATGTGGTTTGATGAAAAAATTAAATCTGATTATATGGAATGGAGATGATCGAGAAAGATTTTTTTTCAGGTTGAGCAGGTGAATCTTTCTGAAGAATAACATTTTAACCGGTGTGAAGTCAACATAATACGAGGTATTGATGTTTTATTCATCTGATATCATGTGCATGTGTGAGTACAAATTCTATTCAATCTGAGTCATTAGATCATGAAGCTTCCATGTAATTGATTCATTTTAGTGAAATAACATTTTTATTGAATAAAATGACCGCCCGCCACTGGTATTGTCTGTCGGGTAAGATATTAAGAGTAAGTAAGATATTTCAGCAGCCAGCTTCAAGTTCACACCGGAGTTTATTATAAATCGCACTTTTTATTATCATAACAAATAACAATGAACAAAAATATTTATTAGGATTGTATAGCAACTGCTGGAATAGAGATGATGACTCATATCAGTCATATCTCATATAATAATTAATTATGATAGTCCTCATAGTAGATATCCAGGCTTTTTCTAACAACAGATAAAAATACATTTTTGTTGTTTTCCTGTACATGATAGATAATTGTGATAATCTGGTGAATATTTTATGAAACAAAACCATAGATGAAGCCTTTCATTTATGAGGCTACTATTGTACTAATTGATAAATGAGTAGCAGGAATCAGATGAAAACATGGAAAGTTCTTCACCTAAAATTGTCAAGAAGCCTATACCAACACCAAGAAAGAGCATCATTACCAATTCAGAAACAATATCAAGAACTTCTCCAACAAATATTCCAGAAGACAATACCAATGTCAATTCCAATACTTTAACAAAGCGTGTAAGTTCTGCATCAAAACAACTAGCTGGAGATATAAGCCAATTGGTTCTTGATAGAAAGAAGGCAGTTATAGAAAGTACCAGACAGAGTGTAAGGCGCTTAACAAGACGATTCAGTTCTCAGGAACAAAGTAATGTAGAAGAAGTGCTAAATGATGATGAAGAGGATACAATAAATGTATTTAGCTCTATTACATTTAAATCTCCTATTTCACACATAGAAAATATTTATAACAATGCAGAAGATCCTAATTCCAGTTCTTCTGAAGATTCTGTAGGATTGCCTCCACCTTCTCATCCTCCTCCTCCATTACCTGATGATACTTTATATGATGCACCTCTTTCTACTATATCTAGTAGTAACTCTGGGCAATCCAGAACCTCTAAACCAAGAACAAATGCTTATGAAAGTATCTTTCCAATGAATTGTCAGCAGAATCCTGACCAGAGTGAATCTGACAGCAGTTCAAATGGAACTGAAGATTTATCTAGATCCGAATCATGGAGATTCTATGACCCAGTAACTAGGAAAGATGATAAAGATATAAATATGTGTAATAATACTGAGGAGAGCATGGTGACAAGCTCGGTGACAAGAGAACTTACACAACTTGACACTAACATTGATCTCAATTCAAATATCAGTACAATAGATATCAGAAATAGTATGTACTCCAGTATGTATGAGAATCATGAGATCTTGCCTAAATCTAGACCTCCTAGAGCTTCTGAAAGTGTGATATTGATGTTTGATCCATTGACCAAGGAGAACAGTGCTGGTAAGTATTGAAAATTAAATCAGTACCATCATGGTATGAACTCAGCTGAGAATTCAATTATTTGAAGATTTAGATTTTTAAATTCTTTTGAACACATATCATTAAGTTTAAATTAAATAAATTGGGTGCAACCTCAGGTGCATCAGTAATATGGAGTTTTAGTGGTTTTCAATAATTTTTTACATGGCACATGAAATAGGCATATTTCACAGTTAAGTATTTGCATTTGAACCCACACATTCATTACATAGAATATCACCACAACACAATATATTTCTTGACATATTTGAATGATTGCATGCCCTAAAGAACAAAGAACCTGCTACAGAATCAACATACCTAAATCAAAATTATGTTATAGTCTTCATCAAAACTGGAACATAATAACAGTATAATGCCAAACAAAGGCACTATAGGTACCTCTCAATGATGTTATATTTATTTTGCTGTTTGTTAAATTGAAACTAGCTGGAACACAGATATTACAAATGCATAATTTCAAGAGCAAACATCATTTATCAGAACTATCACCTTTTAACATCCAAGTATATGGAAAACTCCTGAATGAAGGCCTGTACTTCAAAAACGACATTACCAGAGGGGTGGCTCACTTGCCCAAATTTTGTACATCATATTATCAGGTGATAATCAGGTAATATCAGTAATATTTAGGAGATATTACCATAATACCAATAATGCTCAAGATATTACTAAATATTACTGATTTTGTAAAATATTACTGAGTATTACCAAATATTATCAAATAATACTAAATATCATGGAATATTAACAAAGGCCTCTACAAATACCACCAAATATTATCAAATATTACCAAATAGCACCAAATAGCACCAAATATTACCAAATATTACCTATCACAAAATATTACAAAATATTACCAAATATTACCAATATTACCTTCAATAACTGGTACCTGATGAACCACATTTATTACTAATTTATTCAGGCTTTGTGGCTTATCACTATCATCAATTCAACGTTCATCAACTATCCACAACTAAACTGATCAATATGAGACTACATATTTGAAATTGTGTAAAATTACAGCACTGTCATTATGATGCCATTTGAGCAAATATTTTTATAACTATTTTCAGGATGATAGATCATTGTCCAAGAAATAATTATTATTAAAAATGACCATGATTGATCATGGTCTCAAGAAAATTATAAAAAATAATTTTCTCTCACGGGAATATAATGACACCCCTGCAATTTCACCTCGAATTTAACACTAGGTACTTCAATTATTATCCAGTTGACAAATTTTTGTAGTCTTATATTCCTCTGAAAAGTAACTGAATTATTGGGCTAGCCAACTATGGAAACTGAATATAAATTCATTATTGGATCCATGAGTAATTTGATTTATAGAATTCAACTTCAGTTCAGTAGTCAAAATATACAAATGTAGTCATTTAAACTGATAATAGTTGAATTAATGATAGTGATAAGCTAGGTTACCTGTGTAATATAGTAATTAATATGGTTTATCAGGTTCCTATCCCTTATGTGGAAGGTAATATTGCTAATATTTGGTAATATTGGCCATATTTGGTAATATTTGGTAATATTCGGTAATATTTGGTATTATTTGAAAATACCTGGTGATATTTAGTATTATTTTGTAATATTTAGGAATATTTGGTGAAATTTGGTAATATTTGGTAATATTTGGTATTATTTGGTATAATTCAATATTATTTGGTATTATTTGGTGGTATTTGGTAATATTTTGCAAAATCAATATACATTATGATGCAAATGTATGGAATAAATTCATTTCAAAACAAGATGACTTTCGAAAAAAAAACCAAAAACTAGAGTTTAGAACTTTTTTTTCGACGTATTTTTTTAACTAGACGACCCTTCGATGTTCAATTCTCAGTAGCAGACCTCTGCAAGATTCAATTAATCACATGATAATCCATTTTAATTTCATTCTTCTTATACAACATTTTGACTGTTGAATAGACGATCGGTAGACCTTTCAATCAAGGTGTCACATGACCCCTATTTGTATTTGAAAAAATCGTCCATTACGTCTTTACTCCAACACCGGTGACATAACATCTCTCATATGAATATCATGAGATGAGGCTTCAGAAATTAAAACTCACGTGTTTTTGGAATTTTTTCAAATGTCGCCCATTTCTGAAATAATGAATTTATTCCATACATTTGCATCATACTGTATAATTGATAATTATAATCCTGTTGAACATTTATTTTGAATTTTTGTAGTCTCATATAGCTATGTCGAGTAACTAAAAGATTGGCCTATGAGTTATTTGATTTTGAATTTGGCCGACATTTTGGACTACGACGTTCATTTTATTGATCAGTTCAGATGAGTTATGCTATTTACAATATAGATCTAGAAGTAATCTTAGTTTAGCTGACAGTGACAACAATTTCACATATTTTGAATAATACTCAGTATTACATATAAAAATAAAATGTAATTTTTCTCCAAATGATATGAAAAGTGGCTTTTAAATGACTCTTAACAGGCATAAAAGATGTACTTTTACTGTGTAGGCACAAAAAATTTGGTCCTATTCAACGTTGCCTACCCTCGTTTACGCGTTGGCTATTAAACGCCCGCCGCAACATTGAATCTTGTGCGTTACTGCCTTATAAAACAAATAACTATTTACTATTTAGGTCTACTCGATTTGACAAATTGTTGCAGAAATATAACTACACATTCGTTAATATCTTTGTGTTTGTTTGGGTGTTCCTAGTCGCCGACTCGGTCGCCGATAAGTCAAACCAAGAGTCAAACCTCGAGTCAAACATAGTTTACAAACTGAGTTCAGGCAACTAAATACTGAAGCACCCATGAATTGAAATAAAAGAATGGTATTTTGGGAATCATTCTATTCATAATGAACAGGTAGTTATAGAAACTTTGCGATAGAAAATATCATGCAGCCGCACCTGACAGACAGCTTTAAAAAATCCTGCTATGTGCATGTTTGACCTGGATTTTCCAAACTCCATATCTTCAACTGAACTGACACAAGGCTTGAAAGCATCAGTCAACATTCATGCTCCTTAACTTATTGTATACAAACATAAACAGTTATACTTCAAAATGGCACTTGATTAACAACTTCATAGAAAACAATGAAATGTACCCATTTTGTTGAAACTAAAACCAAAGAAAGCAGCAATACCCCCAACATTTTTAATGCAAAATATCCCACACGAGGCTTGAAAGCATCAGTCAATATTCACGCTCCTTAAATTATTTGTATACAAACATTATGAATAAAGTAATACAAATCTGATATTTATTGCCCTATATATCTTGACTTTTGAGTTTGTCATGAGATGTAAATGAATATTTTTTGTGAACACGTCAACTTTTGATTTGTAAGAAAAATACTGTTAGATTTCATCAAAATGTGTTATCAGTTGGAATCTAACAATTGGTCTTTCTAGTAGAAAGCAAAAAGGTAGCGCGGTATTCAAAAAGGTGACCTAGTGCAGTCTAGATAGTCATCAACAATGACAAACAGGAACAAAGGCGATGTCTACTGGGCGAAATTCAAACGACGATTCTTCCAGAGAAACCATGAAAGAGGTTCAGAATTGCATTCAAAACCAGGAATGAAAGTTCCTCAACACGTCAGAGTCATGTATCAATATCTCACAAAAGCAGATCTTCCAGAAGATGTGAAGAAGATTTAGAGGCAAGCGAGAGAGGACTTGAAGAACAACTGATTGATTTGCAAATAAAGAAGCTCAATGTAAAAAAGGAAGCTCTGATATGATCAGTAAAAACAAAAGTACCAGATCAGGGTATTCGACTTTTTTTAATGAAGAATATAGTATGGATTCACACTCTTTCATAAGAAATTGAGTGTCCATGAAGAAGACTTAGTCTTATGAAATTCAAGAAAAACACCAGAATATAGAAATGAAGATTCCAAAGAAAAAGAAGATGGAAATGAGAATGGAAATAACAAAATAAATTTCGTCTTTGGAATCTCAAAGATGAAAAAAGTGCCGAGAAAGAAAATGTTACTTGTGTTGATTGCATGAAACATTTGAATGCAAATTTAGTAAAGTTAGAGAATCGACAGTCAGGTAACCAACTTCAAAGTTTTTATGGCGATGTTGAAATTAATTTTCTTTGTGGCTGTAAGAATTTTGCCGTATTACAGCTGAAAAGAGACTATCAAATTCAGAAAATATGGGTCGCCTTCAATGTTATCTCAAAGGACGAGCACGAGATATTGTGAGAAATCTATTTTGCAGTCCTGAAAACTTCAACTCTATCATAGATACATTAACCTGGAATTTCGGTAGAAGTGATTGGATCATCATCAATCAAATTGAAAAATAAAGACGTTGTGCCAATCCTCCAGAGGATTCGTAAGATACATTCTAACAGTTCTCCATAACTGTATCCGATATCGTTATTTCTATGGTAAATCTGGAAATAGTAAATATCTGGAGAATCCTGAATTACTCATGAAACTTGAAGACAAATTACCCAGAAATTCTAGAACAGCATGGGCTCAAAAATGAACTCAGAGGTATCAAAATGTGGAGTGAACCTAAAACATCTCAGATTGGCTCAAGTCAGAAGTAAATCTGTTGATGTCTTTATCCACTTCATCGCAAATATATTCGTACCAGAGTAAACAAATTTCCGGAAGAACAGAAAAAGTTATGAATATAATTTATGAAAAGTCAGTAGTATGTATTGTATGTAATGTTCCTTGAGAAGTCGATCAGCGAAATAGTAAAATATGTTCAAGGTGAACATTTCTGTTTCAAATGTTTGAATCCGGTCATATTGTGAAGAAATGTTTTTCTAAAACGTTTAGTAATATTGACAAATGCAGAAGGAAGCATAATCGTCTTTTACACGAGAAAAGAGCACTTACGGGCGAAAGAAACTCTGGTGAGGATAAAAATTTGGAGGAGCTAGCAAATTGAAAAGAAGATTCTGAATTCGTTCT